CGTGTTGGGAGAAGGCTCCATACTGATTCTGTGGGGACACTAAAAAAATAAAGCAATATTCTCAAATAAGGCAAGGCCCAAGAGTTTACTCGCATTTACTAGTGAGGAGGGGCAGTTTTAGAGGAACTGTGGGAGTAAATCCCTGAGTACCAAAGGACAAAGGAGAGAGAAGGCGGTGCAATGGAGACAGTGAGGACAGACAGCTCTTTAGTTCGGTGTCCCCATGCAAGAGCGGGAGAATGATAGAGTGGTAGCTGCAGAGAAACATGGGGTCAAGAAAAGTTTCTTCCTATTTGATTTTTAATCTGGGAAAGGCCTGAAAACCACTGAAGGGAAGCAGCCAGGTGAGAGAAAGAAAGAAGTCGTAGATGTGGGAAAGAGGCAAGGAAACAGTCGGAGATAAGTTCTGTGGTTCAAACCCACCAGTTGCTTCATGAGGGAAAGATGAGGCTTTCTCATCCTGCAGAGATTCACGGCCTTGGAAACCCACAGAGGCCGTTCTACTCTGTTCTATGCGTCAGAATCGACTCCGGTGGTGAGTGTTGGTTTTTACAATAGACTCCAGAAGACCAATGATTGTGCAGGCTCAGACTAATTTCATTGTGTCTTGCAGATAGAACACATTTAGCAACTAATTGAGAAATTTCAGCTCTTCTGTGATAAATGAAGTCCTTGGATACATACACATGGAAGATATCGATGCATCTATCTATTCTAGATATTTTGTACAAGTGAGATTATACAATACGCGTCCCTTTGTGACTGAATTATTGTATTCAGCATAATGCTCTCAAGGTTCATCCCCACTGTAGCATGCATCAGACCAAGTTTGTTAGTGGTCATCACAGGTGAGGGGGAGGGAGGGAAGAGTAGCTCTCTAGGTCTAGGAGATACAGATATTCTGTTAACCCTGGTGGGGAAATCGGCAACTAGGTGATAGTTGCACAGTATGATAACACGCTGGTGGTGTTCGGTGCTGTGGAGATGATTATGACTCACGAATGTGCTGAGCGAGTTCAGAGGGGTTTCCGAGGCTGCGATCTCTGCACTGAGCCGGAGCTGCCTGAGCGGCAGCTGACCACCACAGTCTTGACAGAAGGATATGCCCAGGTCATTTCTCTCCCGGAGCCATCGAGTGAGTGCCTATCACAGCAGAAAGCTTCATCGCTGCATCCTCAATGCCACAAAATGGACATGTGAAGAAGGATGAGATGGCTGCATGTTTTGTTACATATTTATTTACCACATACTGTGTTTTGTTTGTTTTTCTGCTATCTCGCAGCGTGTATTGACCTTTATAGGTTAGCAAATACGTTGAGTGGATGATGTGATTTCAGCCCCGCCCCCCAGCATTGTGGGATAGAAATTAGTATCACCTCCACATTACAGATCCTCAAACCGAGACACATCGATATTGAGTATGCTGACGAGAGTCACGCAAGCAGGTTATGACGGGAGCTCTGAGGGGCTGGTTCTTCTGCTCCCACTACACTGGACACTCTCAGGGCGGTACTCCTGCCCCCTTTCCTCAGTCCCTTGTCCTCTGTGTCTGCAAGCCCTATTAAAGGCTTTTAGGACCCTATTTGTGGCCCTGGATTCTCTCTACCATAACAAGAGTGAGGCCGACATCGTTTCTCAGGCAAACACGAGTGTGAAGTGACAGTGATATGTGCCCCATGTGCAAACTTCTGATTACCAGTCTCCAGTCTGCCATGTAAACGGGTAGACTACGATTTAATACGCTTACACAGTGCAGTAAAGAATCTTTCTTCAGCACGGTGCTTGCGGATGGAAATGTTTAAGTTAAAGCTGATGATGACTTGGAGATGGAAGCATCCAGTTTCTTGGAGATGGAAGCATCCAGCCAGAAAAACAGGGTCTGTGGACAAAGGGGGTCGCTGCCAGGGGGTGGGGATCCCAGTTCCCAGAGGCAGGGGGAAGGCAGAAACCTTGAGTTCAGGGTGAAAGTTTCACTGTTGCCTCTGAAATGCTCAGGGGTGGGCTCAGGAAGCCAGCCACCATCCGCCCATACCTTGCGGCCCTGCAGCTTTTCTCCACTCGTCAATGACCCTTCAGGGCCATGTTCTGCAGCCTCTGAGGGGCTGCAGGTGAGTGAACGGGCAGGCACGAAGACAGAACAGGGAAGCAAGGCAACAGCGGCTTTCCGG